CCGGAATTGATGGATTGCTCATTTAGTTGTGTGTACCTACCTAGTTGTATTTATCTAGTTGTGCTTGCGGGGGTTGAGCTCTGGCTCTTTGGTCCCGCCTCTCAACTGTCAATCAACTGGTGTACAGGTTCCTGAGCCTATTGGGCTCTATCATATCTACACTTGAAGCTGTGTATGGAGTCAGCCTCCACCACATCACTGCCTAATGCATTCCATTTGTCTACTACTCTGACACTGAAAAAAAAGTCTTTCTAATGTCTCTATGGCTCATTTGGGCACTTAATTTCCACCTGTGTCCCCTAGTGCGTGTGCCCCTTGTGTTAAAATGTCTGTTTTTATCTACCCAATCAATTCCTCTGAGAATCTTGTATGTGATCATGTCCCCTCTAACTCTTTTGTCTCCCAGTGGCGTGAGGTTTAATTCCCGTAGTCTCTCCTCGTAGCTCATTCTCCTCAATTCCAGTACTAGTCTCGTGGCAAACCTTTGAACCTTTTCCAATTTAGTGTTATGCTTGAATTGATATCGACTCCATGCTGGAGCCACATACTCCAGGATTGGTCTGACATATGTTGTATACAATGTTCTGAAAGATTCCTTACACGAGTTTCTAAAGGCCGTTCTTATGTTAGCCAACCTGCCATATGCCGCTGATGTTATCCTCTTGATATAAGCTTCAGGGGACAGGTCTGGCGTGATATCAACCCCCAGGTCTTTCTCTCTCTTTGACTCTTGAAGTATTTCATCTCCCAAATGATACCTTGTATCAGGTCTCCTGCTCCCTACACCTATCTTCATTACATTACATTTGCTTGGGTTAAACTCTAACAACCATTTGTTCGACCATTCCTTCAGTTTGTCCAGGTCTTCTTGAAGCCTCAAGCTGTCCTCCTCTGTCTTAATCCTTCTCATAGTTTTGGTATCGTCAGCAAACATTGAGAGGAATGAGTCTATACCCTCCGGGAGATCGTTCACGTATATCAAAAACAGGATAGGTCCGAGTACAGAGCCCTGTGGGACTCCACTGGTGTGTGTGTGTGTGTGTGTACTCACCTAATTGTGCTTGCGGGTGTTGAGCTCTGGTTCTTTGGTCCCGCCTTTCAACTGATGTACAGATTCCTGAGCCTACTAGGCTCTATCATATTTACATTTGAAACTGTGTATGGAGTCAGCCTCCATCTCATCAATGCCTAATGCATTCCACCTGTTAACTACTCTGACACTGAAAAAGTTTTTTTTAACGTCCCTGTGGCTCATTTGGGTACTCAGTCTCCACCTGTGTCCCCTTGTTCGCGTCCCACCCGTGTTAAAAAGTTTATTCTTATCTACCCTGTCAATTCCTCTGAGAATTTTGTAGGTAGTGATCATGTCTCTCCTTACTCTTCTGTCTTCCACCGACGTGAGGTGCATTTCCCGCAGCCTTTCCTCGTAACTCATGCCTCTTAGTTCTGGGACTAGTCTAGTGGCATACCTCTGAACTTTTTCCAGCTTCGTCTTGTGCTTGACAAGGTACGGGCTCCATGCTGGGGCCCCATACTCCAGGATTGGCCTTACATATGTAGTATACAAGATTCTGAATGATTCCTTACACAGGTTCCTGAAGGCAGTTCTGATGTTAGCCAGCCTCGCATATGCCGCAGATGTAATTCTTTTTATGTGGGCTTCAGGAGACAGGTTTGGTGTGATATCAATTCCCAGATCTTTCTCTCTGTCCGTTTCATGAAGTACTTCACCTCCTATTCTGTATCCTGTGTCTGGCCTGTTTTCACTGCCTAGTTTCATTATCTTACATTTACAGTCTGCCTAGGTCATCTGACAGACTGACACACATCACACATCTGAGTGAGTGTGTGTGTGTGTGTGTGTGTGTGTGTGTGTGTGTGTGTGTGTGTGTGTGTGTGTGTGTGTGTGTGTGTGTGTGTGCCTACCTCTTAGTATCTTCAAGACATTGAGGACTAGTTCTTTATCCCCCCCCCCCTTCCCCCTACTTTCCTTGCGACACCTGCTACGTTATTATTTTTTCTGTTAAACTTGTGGATGGAGGTGGCTTCCACAACTTCTTCCTTCAGTGAATTCCACAGGTTGTATACCTGTACAGTGTACGAAAAGTTTCTTATACATTCCTTCGACTCATTTGTGTTTCCAGTTTCCATCTGTGTTCACTTGTCCTATTTTCTCTCAATCTGAGGAGACTTGTCTGTTTCTCCCTTAATTAATATTTTGTATGTTGTGGTCATGTCCACCCGCTCTGTTTCTTCTGTCCACCAGGGTTGTATGATTTAGTTGCATTATGTAATGTTTAATAGCTTAAACAGTTTAGCTTTGGCACGAATCTTGTTGCAAATTTTTTGTACTTTATATTTTTTTAATTTTTATGCTTCACTAGGTGTGAATTCAATGCTGGTGCTGCATTGTTGTGAGGGTACCACCTCTGGTGTAAGTATAGGGACCCATAGCCTCGGAGAAGAAAATATAGAGTATTCAGAGAAGACCTTGTAGATTCTCACTGAACACTTTAATATATCCTTCTCCTACCACCCCTATTCTTTTGTATATAGACATATTTGTTTTATTTAAACTTTGTTACAAAAAAGGAGTTATATATAGGGTACAAAGATGGTTATCATAAGTTGTCGAGTTCCTCCAGCTCCTCGGATGGCGGGCAGGAACCCTGAATACAGTGTGCATTTTCCCTCTGTATCGCGCTGGAAAAGGAAGCTGACAGCTCTAGGGTTTCTTGTTGTTTCAATTAGCCAGAAACCAGTACCTTAAAAAACTGGTGGGACTCTTACCCCAGGCGCCGAGTGTCTCAGAAGCAATGGGGACAAAATTGTAGCGGTGATCCAGTTCTCTATACTTACGGCATTTGGCTGCTTCCCTGTGGGTGGCAGCGCCACCTGGTTGTGCAACACTGAGGTTAATGTAGGTGTTAGCCAGGGTTGATACGCACGTGTAGTCCCATACCAACTGCTTGCCATTCTTCCAGGGGTTCACTGTGATACCATCCGGGTGACTAATAAGAGCATCAGAGTTACGGGGCGTTAGGTAACGGGGCTCTCTTTCAGCGGGGCATCCAGCTGTGGTGAGGCTCCTCTTGATGATGTCGCTAACTTCACTGTGCCTCGAGTGCCATCCCCCTGTGCCCCTATATTATAGGTACATTATATATATATATATATATATATATATATATATATATATATATATATATATATATATATATATATATATATTCACTAAGAACTCATATTTTACCCGGCAAGGATTCGAACCTATGACGTCCAGAATCACCCCTAAACTTACACAGTACCGTGACGACCGCAATATTGATCGTCTTCAGGATCAGACATCTTAGACGATCACTGATGTGCTGGTAGTAGTAGTAGGCATCCATCAGTCTCAGGAGACTATGGAGTTGCGCTCTGGTTGTCGGTCTGGAGTGGCCTCTCCAGGGCGCAAAGCCAGGGTAGGTTGATATCGGGAAGAAGCTGTCACCCATGCAGCAGGTCTCCCCTCTCCACGGCGCCGAAAGTCTCCAATGGAAAGGCAAACGCCAATACGATTGGTTCCAGCGCCGTCGCAGGAACTGTCAGAACGAGGTTGAAGGTAACATCGAACTGCCCCTAGGGGCTCCAGCTCCGGAGTTGACCTCGAAGTTGGTAAAAGAAGACACAGGGACTCCAAACCCGGAGACCGCCGTGGTCGGGGCCGGAGAAGAACCACCCCAGCAAGGGCAAGAACGACCCCAGCCTCCTGAAGCAGAGCCTGGGGGGCCGCACGAGCCCCAGGAGGTGGACGGCCCGGTCCCGCACCTACGGGTTCCTGACAGAGATCGTCACAGCCCCCTTTCACCCGAGGCCGGCTTCCTTCATGACCCAAGCAGAAGGAAGAGTAATAATTATTAATTACAACAATAATTATTATAATTATTATTATATTATAAATATAATTAATGTGTGTGTGTGTGTGTGTGTGTGTGTGTATGTGTGTGTGTGTGTGTGTGTGTGTGTGTGTGTGTGTGTGTGTGTGTGTGTGTGTGTGTAGATCACGAGAAATCCTTTTTTTGTGGGCAGACCTCGAGAAGGCTGAGTTAATAAAAAATCCGGAAAGTGTAGTTAAGATTTTTATTGATATGGAGGAGTTAGAAATTACTGAGAAGGGTAAAGGTTGATATACAAACTGCATTCTGTCCTCAACAACAACAACAACAACAACAACAGCAGCAACAACAATAGTCTCTCCTGCTGTATGCAAGTTTCCACCGTGGAGTTCTCAACCTTAAACAGCTTAGCTCTCGTGAGTTAGGTCATTTTTCTTAAGTCTGGGGGTTTATGTCATCTTTATTGTGAGTTAAGGAATAATGAGATGCACAACATTGTTAACATCCAGAGAAATGGAGAGATTGTCAGTGCTCAGACGTATATATATATATATATATATATATATATATATATATATATATATATATATATATATATATATATATATATATATATATATGGAGTAAATAATCGGTTTATCTTAACACACGTATAAGCCAAGATAGATTTACAACCTAAATTCTTTCGTAATAATTAATAATATAAAATACAATTTTGTACAGCTTCCTGCTAGCAGTCTTTGGTAGTCAGGTTTACCCTGGCAAATAGCAGTGAAATGATGTCAATTTCCTTGAGAATTCCAGACAAAGAGACCCCCGCCATCAGTGAAATATTCAGTCCATCTTATAAGACACCGGCTCTTAGTTTGTGATGTTCCCTGTTGTTCTCTCAGTCCCTGAGAAAACCACATCATGTGCCTGTGGGCTACATAAGTCAAAATAATGCCTACATATGCTGCCTGCCCTCAAGTCATACGGTGCCCAGCAGTGATCAGGGGCCAGATTCACGAAAGCACTTACGCAAGCACTTACGAATGTGTACATCTTTCCTCAATCTTTGACGGCTTTGGTTACATTTATTAAACAGTTTACAAGCATGAAAACTTGCCAATCAACTGTTGTTATTGTTACAAACATCCTCCTGGTGCTTCGGAGCTCATCAACTGTTTAACAATTGTAAACAAAGCCGCTAAAGATTGAGAAAAGATGTACAGGTTCGTAAGTGCTTTCGTGAATCTGGCTCCAGGAAGGTATCAGAGGTTGTGTCCGTGACTTAGGAACCGCTCAGAGTAAAAGAGAACTCTGAACCGGTCTAATTAAACTTTATAAAACCGCGCAAATAAAAGGTCAGGAAATTGAACAGTTAATCAGGAATGTAAATAAAGGGGAGATAGGAAGAATGGGGTTAACCTCTCTCTCTCTCTCCTTTCTGGTCAGAAGCAGGATTAATGCACTACTCACTGCTCATAGGCCTATAAATGACGTCTTTAGCATATTGCAGGTTCAATGCCCTTGTGGGGTGACAGCGTTCATCTGAAGTTAGTAAGAACGAGAATCTCACATTTAAGGTTGAAAACATAAATGATTTCGAAAGATACGGGTATATAGGCTAGTGAAAATAAAAAACAAATATTAAAACGCAATGTCAGTAATTTTCTCTTACAAAATATACTTCCCAGGGGGAAAATAGCACATATATATATATATATATTTTTTTTTTTATTTAATGTCAGAAAGTCTGCGGCCGGAAAGCACTTCTGATACGGTGGAAAGGCTATCATGTCAGATATTATGTATTTCTCTTTGACTAGCGACACTGATGGAGAATCAGCATTCTCGCCCATTAGAGTCTTCTCCTGGCAGTTCTTCAGGCTTGCAAGCCACAGGCGTGTCTCCCTCAGTTCGAGCGCCTGTGTCCTCAGGCTTCTCCGGCGAATCTAGCGAAGCCATTTGGGCTGAAGAACCATGCCTTTCCAATGGACTTAAATGGTTCAGGGAGGATAATGTCCCCAGCGGATCTTCTCTCGTTGCCAGTGCTTCTGAGCCTATTAGCGGCGTTATGCCCTGATCGTCTGAATTATACGTCGTGAAGGACTCTCCGGATGACTCCGGTACGTCGCAGTCCGACGCAGAATCTTGCGTTTCGTGCTTCGTGGTCTGTAAGTGGAAGGGGTATCTGATATCCTGGGGTGTAGGGGGTGGTGTTGGTGCCCCTCTCAGAAGAGTCCCAGGAGATGGTGGACCTCGGTCTTCAGGTCTCGAGGGGGCTAAAATACTCTCAATGGAAAAGGTAGGTCTCTTAACTGTCGTCTCTCGCGGCTGTGTGTGTGGTTCTTGCGCGGCCTCGCCCACCACATCGATCTCAGGCTCCGGCTTGTGTTGCGTCTCGTACTCGCGCCGCAGCTGCTCGATGGTCACGTGGACGCCCTTGAGGGTCAGCTTGCGATGCTGGCGCTCCAGCTGCTTCAGGATCTTCTTCTCCCGCCGAAGTCGCTCCCGGCGCTGCAGTTCCTCAGGGGGGATGGGTTCGCCAGAGCAGGACTGCGGGTGGGCGTTGTGGGCCGGGCGACCCGGGCCCTTTCTCGTGTGCTCCTTCTTCCGCCACTTCGCGCGACGGTTCTGGAACCAGACCTGCCGAATGACAGGCCAAATGAAAATTCTATCAGGTTCTGGTGAATGAACCTAGTAATGTTATTGGCACCATATATGTACACACAGAAATCACAATAGCCTGATGCATCAAATGAACAAATCCACAAGAGCCTTGATGTGGGGTTCGAACCTACGTCCGAGAGGATCCAGTTCTAGCACAGTAGATTAAGACGCGTCTGGGATCCTCTCGGGCGTAGGTTCGAACCCTCATCACGGCCCTTGTGGTTCACCGTATATGTACTTATACTAGAAATGCTTGCTAGTTATTTATTCACATTCATTTGAGTCCTTTTACTGTATAGTACAAACATAACTGTAGAAAAATAGACAAAAATGTATTACAAATCAAGTTGTTAGATCTATATGATACAGAAACTTTAAGTATTTTAAAAATCTTAGAATCTATATTGAGAAAAAATGTCTGTTTGACTGCCAATTTCTTGGAGGTTGGAAGCCAGATGCTATAGGCTAGCCTCACTCAACTTTGTAGGGTGAATGGTCTGGAATACGGGACGAAAATAGGTTAATCGAAGGTCGGTTCTATTAAGATGAAGGGGGGGGGGGGGATGGGGTCGGGCCTAACAGTGGCAACGCCTCCTATATTATATAGTAGCTGAAAGGTGTGGTGCCGAGTCCCTAGATTTCAACTCGAACTCGTTCGACATTAATTCAGTATTACATTTTCTGAGACAGAAAGAGAAGGGGGAAGAGGGGTGGAGAGATGTCAGAAGGGGATGTTGGATAAGAGTAGGGACAGAAAATGGGAAAGGGAGGGGGAGGGGAGATTGGAAATGGGGTAGGGAACTAAACAATATGGTGATATGCTGTTGCAACAATCAATCAATCAACTGACAACAAGTGCAGGCGATGAGTCACAATAACGTGGCTGACGTATATTGACCAGACCACACACTAGAAAGTGAAGGGACGACGACGTTTCGGTCCGTCCTGGACCATTTTCAAGCTAATCGACTTGAGAATGGCCCAGCACGGACCGAACCGTCGCCGTCCCTTCACTTTCTAGTGTGTGGTCTGGTCAACTGACAACACGTTCGTGTGGGTAAAGATGGACGGTTCGCCTCTACAAACAGCGACTTTGCCTTGTAACGAAACGCCTAATTTTCCACAGTCAAGACCCTTCATCCGAGCACAATTTCGGGAGCACCAATCACTGCCGATTGACAGAGAACACTGCTGCCGATAGACAGAGAACACTGCTGCCGATAGACAGAGAACACTGCTGCCGATAGACAGAGAACACTGCTGCCGATAGAAAGAGAACACTGCTGCCGATAGACAGAGAACACTGCTGCCGATAGACAGAGAACTGTTGTTACTTCAGTGTTCCACTGAAGTAACAACAGCGTAGAGATCCAATTATCAGAATGTGAATTGTTATATTATACATAATAACACCCCCAAACGAGGGAGTATACATGCACACCGAGCGGTATACGCAGCTTTTCAGTGTATATTATACATAGAAAGTTTACTTCAATCATGGGGCTACGTTCAGACTTGGATAGTAAGATAATAAGGTGGCCTTAATAACCTTCCTGAGGTTGTTCGACCTTAAGCAAGCCGAATCTCACACACACCTCTGCCCAGGGGCCACATTCACGAAGCAGTTACACAAGCACTTACGAACCTGGGGCCAGATTCACGAAGCCGTTACGCAAGCACTTACGAACCTGGGGCCAGATTCACGAAGCAGTGACGCAAGCACTTACGAATCTGGGGCCAGATTCACGAAGCAGTTACGCAAGCACTTAAACCTGGAGCAAGATTCACTAAGCAGTTACGCAAGCACTTACGAACGTGTACATCTTTCCTCAATCTTTGGCGGCTTTGGTTACATTTATTAAACAGTTTACAAGCATGAAAACTTGCCAATCAACTGTTTTTATTGTTATAAACAGCCTCCTGGTGCTTCGGAGCTCATTAACTGTTTATTAATTGTACACAAAGCCGCCAAAGATTGAGAAAAGATGTACAGGTTCGTTAGTGCTTGCGTAACTGCTTCGTGAATCTGGCCCCAGGTTCGTAAGTGCTTACGTAACTGCTCCGTGAATCTGGCCCCAAGTTCGTAAGTGCTTGCGTAACTGCTCCGTGAATCTGGCCCGAGGTTCGTAAGTGCTTGCGTAACTGCTCCGTGAATCTGGCCCCAGGTTCGTAAGTGCTTGCGTAACTGCTCCGTGAATCTGGCCCCAGGTTCGTAAGTGCTTGCGTAACTGCTCCGTGAATCTGGCCCCAGGTTCGTAAGTGCTTACGTAACTGCTCCGTGAATCTGGCCCCCCATATCTGTTTCCCCAATACACTCCCGCCCTGACTTCTCAATTTTCGTTCCAGGTTTCATATTATTAAAGTGCCGGATAGCTTTTGGTTAGAAATCAGCTAATAATGGGCTATAACTTGAGTTTGGAAAATTTACACCCACATAAATATGGCTGTGAATGTTTTTCACCCACGTTACGTTACGTTACACAACAAAGGCACTGGTGGGGGGGGGGGGGGAGGGGGGAGGGGGTTGTGGGGGGGGGGAGGGGAGGGGGGGGGTGGGGGGGGAGGGGGGGGGGAGGGGGGAGGTGTGGTGGGGGGGAGGGGGGAGGGGGGGGGGGGGGGGTGAGTAGTGCATGTTCATTTAATCTACAAAAAAAAAGTGATTTACACTATCTTTATTGGGATAGATATTATTATTATTAACATCTTTATTGACAACGCGAATTACAATTTTGCCTGATCTGAGGATTTCAATTAAGTCTTTATTAAAGTGAGGATAATGCTGGTATTCACTGCTACGTAGGATAGAGAGGGTCATACACAAGACAATAGGTCTAAACTGTAGGCTGAAGCACATATATATCACGGTTACAATCGTTTTATGTATGAATATGTGAAAGCAACTTTCTATTGTGCACTGCCACACAAGGGCAGGGATGGGTTCATAAGCGATGCGGCTTAGAAGTAATGTAAATCAAATTGTTCTTCATTCCTTAACATGGACAAGCACGCTTTCCTTCGCCTGATTAAGGTGTTGCTAGCGGATTCAAAATGTTACTGATTCCTTCACAGTGTTGCTGAGAGGTTCAGAATGTTACTGACAGGTTCAGAATGTTACTGACAGCTTCACAGTGTTGCTGACAATTCTAGCCTAAAGGCCTACCCATCAGTGAGATTCATCACTGGTGGGTAAGGTACTCACTGCTACTCTGCCCCTCCCTGAGTCCGACTCATCACTGGTGGGTAAGGTACTCACTGCTGCTCTGCCCCCTCCCTGAGTCCGACTCATCACTGGTGGGTAAGGTACTCACGGCGACTCAGCTCCTCCCTGAGTCCGACTCATCACTGGTGGGTAAGGTACTCATTGCTACTCTGCCCCTCCCTGAGTCCGACTCATCATTGGTGGGTAAGATACTCACGGCGACTCAGCTCCTCCCTGAGTCCGACTCATCACTGGTGGGTAAGATACTCACGGCGACTCTGCTCTCGGTGAGTCCCAGCCTCATGGCCAGAGCCTCCCTCATGAAGACGTCGGGGTAGTGTGAGGCCTCGAAGGCTCGCTCCAGCTCCTCCAGCTGCCACGAGTTGAAGTTGGTCCTCGACCGTCGCCGCTTGGCTGCTGCGTCGCCGTCTGCGTCATCCAAGTCTGCGGAGAAATGGGCCCATGACCACACAAAGTCTGCGGAGAAATGGGGCCATGACCACACAAAGTCTGCAGAGAAATGGGGCCCTGACCACACAAAGTCTGCGGAGGAATGGGGCCCTGACCACACAAAGTCTGCGGAGGAATGGGGCCCTGACCACACAAAGTCTGCGGAGGAATGAGGCCCTGACCACACAAAGTCTGCGGAGGAATAGGGGCCATGACCACACAAAGTCTGCGGAGAAATGGGGCCCTGACCACACAAAGTCTGCGGAGAAATGGGGCCATGACCACACAAAGTCTGCGGAGGAATGGGGCCATGACCACACAAAGTCTGCGGAGGAGACGACACTATACCAACGCTGCCCCTGGTATCATACACTTATCATACCACATCAATATCATCATACACACACACACATCATACCACACTAGTGCCACCATACCCCACAAGTCCCCTACAAGGAAATATACGCGGACCAGCGCACCATACACAGACCACCATACTATACACCACACAATACTACAACACACACACACACACTCACTATACTGAGCATACACGTGTATTTAGGAGCGTCCTCATACTTGTGTATCTACATGAGTTGGACATGTATTATGAGTAAGATTGGGTGGTTATTAATTGGCCTCGTCTGGGCCATAATAGGCCTTCTGTAGTTACCTTTGTTCTTATGTTCTTAATAGCCAAATAGGGTGGATTGGTCTTGGCCTAGATGCATAGGGTTATTAAGACCACCACAATAGTGGCCCTGACCAAATTAAACTTTGGTCAGGATACTTTGGTCAATAGTGTCCTGTAAGTAAACTTTTGTACGTGAACAGCGTCCAGGACTATATGGTAAACTCACAGTGTATATACATCGAAAAGAGGGGGAGGGGGGATGGTATACCTCTTGATTTATATATCCGTGTTAAGGTATGATGTATATACTCTGAACTAATATATATATTATCGTACCGTTGAAGTTTTACTTATATATATATATATATATATATATATATATATATATATATATATATATATATATATATATATATATATATATATATATATATAGCATTATCGTGACCTCAACTGAGGGTTATTGTAAATTTAGCTGATTATTGACTCCTATGGGTGAGGGAGTGGATGCTCAGGGGAAAGCACCAAGCCATTGCGACTATATAGCACTGGGAAGGAAGGGGTCAGGATAAGGATTTGGGATGGGACGGAGGGAAGGGAATGGTGCCCCAAACACTTGTGGACGGTCTCGGGGGATTGAACGCCGACCTGCATGAAGCGAGACCGTTGCTCTATCGTCCAGCCCCAAGTTATATACAATTTTATTTTGTCCTTAATTCACCCCGCACTGTTGTTGTTGTTGTTGTTGTTTAAGATTCGCTACTTGGAACAAAAAGTTCCAAGTAGCACGGGCTATGGTGAGCCCATCATTAGCACACAGCAGTTCAGATAGACTCGGTATGCATCTTCAGTGGCGGACACAACTCATAGCATCATTGGTGGACCAGTCACAGGTGGACCAGACACAGGTGGACCAAACACAGGTGGACCAAACACAGGTGGACCAAACACAGGTGGACCAGACACAGGTGGACCAAACACAGGTGGACCAGACACAGGTGGACCAGACACAGGTGGACCCAACACAGCTGGACCAAACACAGGTGGACCAAACACAGGTGGACCAAACACAGGTGGACCAGACACAGGTGGACCAAACACAGGTGGACCAAACACAGGTGGACCCAACACAGCTGGACCAAACACAGGTGGACCAAACACAGGTGGACCAGACACAGGTGGACCCAACACAGGTGGACCAGACACAGGTGGACCAAACACAGGTGGACCCAACACAGCTAGACCAAACACAGCTGGACCAAACACAACCCCCATATGTCAGGCAACAAGGACAAACCTGGTCCACAAACTTAGGACCCAAGAGGACCATTTAGTCTGACCAACTTTTAAACTTTAAATGACGTCTAACTGCAGATGTTTGCAGTAGACAAACTTGGGATGCTTTTCCCAAGTGGTGTTTCGTAGTGATTGTGTACATGTGTGGTGTATTTATGGTATATATACTGTGTCAGGAACAAATCCACATGGGCCGTGACGAGGATTCGAACCTACGTCCGAGAGCATCCCAGAACGCAGGTTCGAATCCTCGTCACGGCCCTTGTGGATTTGTTCATTTGATGCATCACGCAATTGTGATTTCTGTGTGTAATACTGTGTCAGAGTTTGGAATATACATGTTAGATATACTGTGTCAAAGTATATATCAAAGTACTATCAATATACCACGTACACCGTTATCTTGAGGTTATCTTGAGATGATTTCGGGGCTTTAGTGTCCCCGCGGCCCGGTCCTCGACCAGGCCTCCACCCCCAGGAAGCAGCCCGTGACAGCTGACTAACACCCAGGTACCTATTTACTGCTAGGTAACAGGGGCATATGGTGAAAGAAACTCTGCCCATTATTTCTCGCCGGCGCCTGGAATCGAACCCAGGACCACAGGATCACAAGACCAGCGTGCTGTCCGCTCGGCCGACCGTCCCTTCTTAACTTTCATCTCGGTAAACATTTTCAATAATCATAATCATTAATAATCACGTTGAAAGTAATCTTCTAGACGAGTCGTAGCGAGGACCACGTCTGATATTTAGCGTGATGAGAAATTAGCGTCATTTAACCATATCAAGCAAAAGGGAAAGGGTAATGGGAACTCAACTCCCAGTCAACCCCCTCCTATGACTATCCCCAAACACCGACTAGTCACCTTGCAAAGTTTCGTGCGCGTCGCCCTAAGCCTCTGACCACCACCTCTGACAGACCGTCCCTTCACATTCCTTCCCAAGTGCTTCGTCAGCACGCCGGCGCGGGGTTTTCTCCTCGCAATAACGTTGTGAATGGAAACAACATTTTTATCTAATGATGACCACAAACCACACATCAGAAAATGGAGAAACGACGACGTTTCGGTCCGTCCTGGGGGCCAGATTCACGAAGCATTTACGCAAGCACTTACGAACCTGGAGCCAGATTCACGCAGCAGTTACGCATGCACTTACGAACCTGTAGATCTTTTCTCAATCTTTGGCGGCTTTGTTTACAATTATTAAACAGTTAATGAGCTTCAAAGCACCAGGAGGCTGTTTATAACAATAACAACAGTTGATTGGCAAGTTTTCATGCTTGTAAACTGTTTAATAAATATAACCAAAGCCGTCAAAGAGTGAAGGAAAGATGTATACGTTCGTAAGTGCTTGCGTAACTGCTTTCGTGAATCTTGCTCCTGGACCATTATATCAAGTCGTGTGTCTTAGTACGGGTACAAGACATGATAATGGTCTACCAGGACCGAAACGTCCTCGTCTCCTCATCTTCTGGTGTGTGTTTAGGTCGTTAACATATGGTCACTATATATCTTCAACCACGTTATTGTTATTCATCGTCTGAATATCTAATTTTTCTCGTTTGACGACTCCGGGTAATATAGAGAGACGAGTTAATATATATTAGAGAACAGCATGCACGCAATGACCCTATATGACAGTATATCATATACTCAACAAACACGCCTTGTGTCAGGCCAACATGGACCAACATATTACATGTGTTATGCAGATGTACATATAATGATAGTTTTTGGAGGGATCAGTGGCATATGGTGTCTAATTAAGCAGGTGCCAACACTCAAGAGGTGGTACCCTCACAATTATATATATATATATATATATATATATATATATATATATATATATATATATATATATATATATATATATATATATATATATATATATATATATATATATATATAATATATATATATATATATATATATATTATATATATATATATATATATATATATAAACTGCTCAACCACATCCTCCAACAAGTGTTTGGAACGATGTGTAACAATTTCAAATATCGAATAAAAGAGCTGTTGTCTCACTCAAAAAAATTTTTTTGGGGGGTTTTAAATCAAATTTTAGAATCAAATTATGTGCTCAGAAACGAGCCTCTGAACTACCTTACGTAGTTCGGAGGCGGTGATCATGTCTCCGTGGCCGCAATTAGTAAATTGTGGCAGTGTCCGTTCGTTCCTGAAGAGCTGAAATAGGAACAAAAGGCCTATTATACCCGAACAACCCCCCCCCCCCCCAGGGGCGCCGGTAGCTTGTTGGTGAAGCTTTAATACACCCGCCATCATTACCGCAGATTCGCTAACAATCCAATTACTTGGATTTGACGAGAGCGGCATTGTTAGGAGTGAGGGTGGAGAGCTTTAAGAGCACCGTGGCACAGTATCGGCCCGCCAGACATAGTGCTCGCTGGAGGCTATGTAGCTGCTGCTTCCTTACAGTCTGTGTCACATTCATCACCACTTTATTACCGCCGCTCTAAAGGCATCTAATGCCCCCACGCCCAACGAGGCTGTTGTGTCTGGCAGCCGAGGCTATGAAACCAGACAAAGGAGCTATCTGTGTGCGACGTTCGAAGGTCCTTATTAATCGAAGCCGAGAAAGCGCGGGAAGCTTCCGGGAAGACAAATACGCCACTAATAGATCGGTAACGAGGCTTGTGGTGGGCGTGTTTACGATAGATAGGGCCATCTGTCTATCCGGGGCCCATGTGTCTATCTAGGGCCGTCGTACACAACAAAGCGCTTGCCGAGTAGACAATCACGAGTAGACAATCTCGAGCGTATAAATCGCCTTGCTGTGGCATCTTACCGATACGCAGTTCAATGGTGTATTTTGGTATACACGTTCGCATCACGTGTCTCCGTCACCCCCACCGGGGTGTTGTATGGGGTGTGTATATACACTTGCCTTAGGTGTATTTACACCTGTGTCCTGCCTCAGGTATCCATTGCGTATACCTTGTTATTATCCCTGAAGTTTTCATCTCTGCCGCGGGAACGCTTTGGCAACGCCGTTTATCATACACAAAATACAGCGTCGAGGAC